ATCTGGGCCATATTTTCTGGTGGCAGCCTATATGAGGACATGGTAGAAGGAAGCTTGCTCTCTTTGCCTGCCTGGTCTCACTCTTGCTAACAAGGCTATTCCTTCACTGGCATTACAGCCTACTTCTTTAGGGTTCTGGTGTATAACTGAAGACCAGCTGAGACATGCAGACTCATAGACTGAAAAACTACTTGATTCTTGGACCTTCTATTGGTAAATAGTCACTAGTTGGACCATAGCCTGTAAGCTATTCTAATAAATATGAACATAGATTCATTCTATCAGTTCTGTTCCTTTAAAGAACCCTAACACAAATCCCTAGTACTACATATGGTGGCAATATGTAATCCTAGCACGAGGGTGATAGAAACAAGAGGATCAAATTCATGGTCATTTTCAGCTCCAGAACAACTTTGAGGCCAGCTTGGGCCAAATGTCTCAAAAATAAAACAAACCAAAACCAACAAAATCCCACCAGAAACAGAGTTTGGCAACAAAGCATTTCACAATTATGAAATCACTGACAAACATAAAAAGAAGGCTGGCACAGCAGCACTCTCCTTTGTTCTCAGCACTTAGAAGGCATAGTGAGAAAGGTAAGTTTGAGGCCAGCATGTATGTAGTAAGACCCTCTTAACAACCTGTCTTGCATGTGTAAAACCCTAGGAATTGATCTCTGGTACAACGACAAGTACGTAATTTTAAAAAGCCAGGTGTGCTGGTGCATCCTTGGAATCCTAGCACTGAGGAGGCTGAGGCAGGAGGATCAGTGGAAGTTTGAGGTCATTCTAGTCTGCAGGGTAAGTCCCTAAACAAATCTTAAAAAGGGGGCTGGGCAATGGTGGCACACTCCTTTAATCCCAGCACTCGGGTGGCAGAGGCAGAGGGATCTCAGTGAATTCAAGGACAGCCTGGTCTACAGAGTAAGTTCTGGGACAGGCTCCAAAGCTATCTCAAAAAACTAAACAAAACAAACAAAAAAGGGATTAGTCTTAAGCAAGCTCGGTGGCTCACTTCTGTAATCCTAGTACTCAAGAGGTTGAGGAGGGAGGGCTATGAGTTCTCAGCCATCTGGGTCACATAGTGAGTTCTAGGAAGATCCTGTCTTGAACACAGAAAAAAAAAGGGGCAAATCTTTTTTTTTTCTTTTTTTAAATAACAAGAGAACTCTAATAAGAACCTCAAATTACACACAAGTGTTTCTTTGCTCTTGCCCCTGAGCACTCCCCTGGGACCCAGCCGCACCTGAGAAATGCTGGACACACTGCTGGTCTTCCTCTTCAGTGTACCCTCCTGACACACAGTTAGCAGATTGCTGGGTAGGATGGAGCGGAAGTCATTAAAGGAACGCCTTCGGACACCTTCTAGCTCCTCTGGGATTCTCAGAGAATGAGGAGGGACTTTGGGAAAGAGCTTTGAGAGGAGAGATTCTTCTGAGTTGCTGTACCGTCCAAATGATCTGGAGATTCCTATCAGGCATGGGACTGCATACTTGCAAAGGTATTCTAGAAGATCAAGTGAGAGTCATAACACAAGAGTTACTTATGACAGCCACACTGCAACAATTTGTACCACTAGCTAACATTTTACAAACTATTCCTGACAACTGTGAAGGCTGAGAACAAGCCATAGTTCCAGGGTTAACCCAAGGGTTAGCTGACGACATTTGCAGTCTGTCATGACCAGGAATGTCAGATTGTATCTCTATCACATTTGCTTTCCTTGGGAGGTCTTGATCTATCCATAGCACATCCCAATCAGTAATATAGTTGGGTCATGCTTAGGTATGTGACCACTCCAGATTACAATGGTTGCCCTATTTACACTCTGGGAAAAGTGACCTATAGAAGTCAACTACCCCCATATTATATCGGGCAAAATGAAGACTCAGAAGGGTAAAGTTACTTGTCAAGGATACTTGGCATTTGTATACAGAACTATGCTCGTAACCCCATGTGGCCTCTCAGTATACCAGCACACAAATGTAACCTAATGGAAAAGTTTCTATTCATCAGGTGTATACAAAGAATAAACCAACAAAACAAAGAAACAGAAAACAAATAAGGGAAGGGAAAGGAGAAGCCAGTGAGATGACTCAGTGGGTAGAAGTCCTACCCTTGCAATCCAATGAACTGAGTTTCACTCCTGGATCCCATGGTAGAGGAGAGAACCAACTCCCAAAAGTTAGTTTTCCTTTGACCACACATATGCATACCTTTGAGCTTGAGTACACACACACACACACACACACACACACACACACACTATACGCAGATTCAAATAATAAATAAAATTTTAAAAATTTAAAATAAAGTAGTCTAGAGGATTTCTAATCATACCTTTTTCTTGAATTTCCACGGTCTGGCACATTCCCAAAAGGACATGCATAACCTGCAAGAGTGCCTCTAAAATCTGTAACAGTCAAGGGCACAAAACAAACCCATTAACAAAACTAGTATTACAAAATTCAGTCAAAATTTGAAGGTGCTTTAGACATTATCTTGACCAACCCTATCCATTTCCCCACAATAGCTGTGCCAGGGGCTAGCTGCTAACCTCACAGACAAGCTTCTTCTAAGCCTGGACCAGTAGTGTCTTCCTAGGTCTTGTACCCACTGCTCTGGGCCATTTTTCCTTCGCTTTCTCTAAAAAGGTCTTCAAAACATCTTTTCCTAGTTAAAAGGGCTTAGTTCTTTTCAGTTTCACTCTGTATGATCATAATTCTTCATGACTCTGTCATCTGCTTACCAATGTACAACAGCTCACTTCTCTACATATCCCATGAAGTGTGGGACTCAGAACACACACATGAATACTCACCCAGACAAATCCACATTTGCGGGAGTCTAGACTTCTTTGTGGGAGCCACTAGCTTTTAGTTTTTTTGTTTTTGTTTTGTTTTGTTTTGTTTTGTGAACACTTCACATTGTTGGCTACATAAAACATTTAAATAATCATCTTCACACATGTTGGCCTTTGCTTTTCTTTCTACATGTTGTTCTTAAGCTATGAAACTTATGCAGCTGGTATTTTTAACTTTTTGTTTGTAGCTCACCAGACTGGGATGCAAAGCCACACAACTAAAAGCAAGAAACAGATGTGACAAGATTTGTTCATAAGTAGTCAATATTCTTATATCTTCCTAATATTAATAATACTACTGAAATAGTGGGGTAAGAAACGGCTCAGCTATTAAGAGCATTTTCTGATCTTGCAGAGGAGTTCACTTTGGCTCCCAGCACCCACATGGCAGTTTACAACTGTATGTAACCCTAGTTCTAGGGGATCCAAGCTCCTCTTCTGGCCTCCAGTGGCACCAGGCAGGGGTGTGTGATGTACATATACATACAGAGATCCAGGTAAAATGCTCATACACATAAAATAGAAGCAAATGAATCCAGTGGGCATGAGAATCGTTTCTGTTTTATACACTTTATAGACATAGCCTGACACAGTTTGATTCATTTGTTTTATGTACTTTATACTCACAGCCTAGCACAGTTTTATTCAGTGTTTTAAATGAGTCTGCACTGAATGCAGCGAGACACAGAATTTTCTACTGGTGGAGTGATATTAGTGATCAAAATTTCAGATTTTGGATTCTTTGTTTTATTTTTTATTTTATTTGTTTGTTTTGAGACATGGTTTCTCTGTGTAGCCCTGGCTGTCTTAGAACTTGATCTGTAGACCAGGCTGGCCTCCAACTCAGAGAGGTACCTGCCTCTGCCTCCCAAGTGCTGGGATTAAAAGCGTGCACCACCTGGCTTCAGATTTTGGATTCTTTACTAGTGACATTCAATCTGTACTTTTTTCTAATTTCATCAATTTCATTGTTGGCCACATTATTTTGGCAAACTTTATTAATAGATAAAGCCTTATTGTTTAACACCTTTAATCCCAGCACCCAGGAAGCAGAGGCTAGCAGTTATCTGTGAATTCAAGGCCAGTCCACAGTCTATACAGTGAGTTCCAGACCAGTCAGAGCACCCTAGAGAGACTCTGCTTAAAAAAAAAAATCAAAACAACAACAAAACCCAACCAACCAACCAGCCAAAAACAAACAAAAACCAGCACTGTGATGCTGTTCTTGATTGTCACTAAAATCCAATTAAATGGATACACCTGTTAGGGAATATTCATAATGAACTCATTAGAAATAGGAAGATCCACCTTTGTTCTGGGACACGCCTTCTACTGGCAGCCTATATAAGCACATGAAAGCAGGAAGCTCTTGTCTGCCTGCTTGCCCTTGCTCACTTTCTGGCAAGTCCATCCTTCATGGCATCATAGCCTGCTTCTTTGGGATTCTTGGACCTTCTGTTGGTGACAGCCACTGTTGGACTAGCTGGACCACAGCCTGTAAGTCACTCTAATAATCTCATACATACATACATACATACACATACACACATATACACACATAAAGCTGTTCATTTTATCACCTCTCTTCTTTAGAGACTCCTAACTAATACAGACTTTGGTACTAAAAGTGGTTCTAGAACAACAGAAGTATAGGGTGGATTTTTTAAGTATCTGGAATAGGCTTTCCTATTTGCTGACACAGTTACTGAAGTCTTTCCTAGAAGCTTGGAGTATTGAAAGTCATCATGTGAAGTATATTACAAACTGAAGGAGACAAATTCATCTGATTATCCGGATTCACCAACTTGTGAGAGGCAATGAACTTGGTGACTGTATATAAAACTTTTTTCTTAATATTTATTTATTTATTATGTATACAATATTCTGTCTGTGTGTGTTTGCAGACCAGAAGAGGGCAGCAGACCTCATTACAGATGGTTGTGAGCCACCATGCGGTTGCCGGAAATTGAACTCATGACCATTGGAAGAGCAGGCAATGCTCTTAACCACTGAGCCATCTCTCCAGCTCCCTGTATATAAAACTTATGACAATTTGTGGGACAGTAAGGAAAATGATGACACCAATGGTTGCTACCATCTCTGCATAAATTGGCAAAGGGAAAGAATGAGCCTCATGCTTGCTTTAGCAGCACATATACTAAAACTAGAACAATACAGAGAGGATTAGCATGGCTCCTATGCAAGGATGACACACAAATTTGTGAAGCATTCCATATTAAAAAAAAAATGGGCTTTGAGGTAAAATGAACCAGTTTCCAGCACTCCGAACCGTGAAGGGCAACAATGAACTGATCAGCTCCAGGCGCACGTAAATAGTCTAAAGGTTTCGAAGTGAGCCCTAGAGGAGACTCTTCTCTCCAGCAGCCACAGAGCTCAAGTTGCTCTGTGGAAAATCAAACTGAAGCCCTCATTATAAGGTTAGCATAATTACAGCTAAACTAAAGTACCAGCCTCAGAAGGTGCTGGCAGTTAAAGGCATTAATTGGTAGAGGATGGAGATGTGTGGAAAGACCCTATTGAAGCTGAGAATTTGAACCCTCAGATTCTCAAGGGTTTATCTCACCTGAGGAAGCAGTCTCCCCACCCTCAGTAGATGTACTCCCACCCCACTCCTGAAATACTACCTTTTCCAGTATTTGACTGAGGAAATTAATCCTTCACTGTCTGCTAAACCAGCAGTGACTTTCTCTGAAGGAAATGCTAGCAAAGACAATACTGATGTCCCTCAGAGCCCAGCTCTCGGCCTGTGACCAGACTTAGGAGAGATAAAGAGAAACGGAGAAGTGTGGTGTACTGCTACTACTACAGAGCTTAATGAGCTTGCTAATTCATGCAAGCAAAAGTCTGGGGAATATCAGGTCTCAGGTAGTCCAGCAGCCAGTCCAAATATCCTGAAATGAGCATAAATTGGACTGTAGGAGGATTTCTGGAGGTTAGATAAAAGCTAGCATTTCTCAAGAACTTGTGAAATTGGTTCCCAGCTGTCAAAAGGAGTCATTTCCTTTACCTCTGGCAGAAGGACATATGGCTACCTTTGGTGCCAATCAGCATATCAAAGTTCATGCTGGCCTCCAGGCTCCCTCAGTATCACAAGTACCTGTGATACATTTCAAAGTCCATGCAAGCATCCTTCTTACCTCCTCTTCTGGAAATTCCCGACAGCTCAAGGGCTTCTCTCTACACAGCTACTGATCTGTCTTATAATCCTGCTACTGTCATTATGCTTTCTTCATTCTCTATTCCCTGTTACTTTCCATCCTCTCAGGGAGTCCCGGGTTACATACCTCTCTTATTTTCTAACTCTCCTTTACTATGCTCTATTCCCTGTCTTTCCCCTTCTCTAGGGGATATGTGTGGGGATGGATCACAACGGTGTGGGATAATTGTGGAAGGAACATAAAACTGGATCAGGCTGAGTTTATTTATATGGATCCCCTGAGTGGAGAGTCTAGGTTTAATATGGAAGGAATGCTAAAAAAGGAATCAAAAGCTTGTTTGAATGGTTACTGGAAACATTTGTCAAAAGAGAGCCTACTGAAAAGGAGTTGGAGATGTTAAGGCTCAGGGAAATTGCAATCCTAAAGTGGGTACACTGTAAAACCTAATCCTCCACACTGGGAAGGCACAGAAGACACACACTTCACTGAGCCTTATAAGTCTTTAAGACACAAACTGTGAGAGGGCCACTGAATCAGTAAAGGCAGGATGATCACAGCTATTACAGTGGGCATGTAATGAGTCCTACTGCTGTGAAGACACACCATGGCCACAGCAACTCTTGTGAGAAAAGCATTTAATTGGGCTGGTTTGCAGTTTCAGAGGCTCAGTCCATTACCGTCAAGGCAGGCAGCAGGCATGACATATGGTGCTGGAGAAGTAGCTAACAGCTCCTCATCCATAAGCAAAGAGAGGGACTGGGCCTGGCATGGGCTTTTGAAACCTGAAAGTTTGCTCCCAGTGACGTACTTCGTCCAACAAAGCTATTTCCTAACCTTTCTTAAATAGTGCCATTCTCTGATGACTAAGAATTCAAATATATGAGCCTACGGGGACCATTCTTACTCAAATCACCATCGGCACCATAGACAAAGCAATGTCTATATGGCCTGACTTGTAATGGTCAGCAGAGGCAAAGTGGATTTTATGGTGGCATGACTCCTATGGATCTTTGGTACTGGTTAATCAATCAGGGTATTTATAGGAAGAAATACATAAGAAATCTGCTGCATTTTTATTTGATCCATATAAGCAGAAAAATTCTCAAACTCACAATATTGCTCTCTGTCCCCCAAGTTCTGAGATTACAAGTTAAAAAAAAAAAAGCTTCTGGTTTCTAGGTCTTAAAAACTGATTTTCTGAATAATAAGTCTGATTAAGAACAAGGTTGAGCTTGGCAGTGGTGGTGCATGTCTTTAATCCCAGCACCCAGGAGGCAGAGGTGAAGCCAGCCTAGTCTACAGAGTGAATTCCAAGACAGCCTGGGCTACACAGAGAAACCATGTCTCAAAAAACCAAACCAAAACAAAACAAACAAACAAAAAAACACAAAATGGATTGGCTCCTGAGAAACCACACTGGAGGTTAACCTCAGACCTATACATGCACACATATGGTAAAGGAAGGAAATATTACATATGTTGGCAACTGAAACCAGAAAAGTCACAAAGGCGAAGTGTTCAAATAAAAAAAAAACTTTTCTTCTCTGAGGGCTGGAAAGTGGTGAGGTGATTGCACTTGATTATGAAGACTGGAGATCGAATTCCCAGAAACCTATCTAAATGCCTAGTGGGTACAGCTGCCCATCTGTAATTCCAGCCTTGGAAGGTAACAACAAGGGACTGATGCTAGCAAGATGCTAGCAAGACTAACTATACTGTGAGCTCTAAATTTGACTGAGAGAATGAATAAGATGGAAGAGCAGTTCAGAGCACGCCTTTAATCCCAGCACTTGGGAGGCAAAGGCAGGCGAATATCTGAGTTTGAGGCCAGGATGGTCTGCAGAGCGAGTTCCAGGACAGCCAAGGCTACACAGAGAAACCCTATCTCAAAAAAACATAATCAACAAATAAAAAAACAGGTGAGGGGAGCAATGGAGGATGATTCTCAACAGCAGCCTCAGGCCTCCATGTGCAAGGTGCACACAGGAGCCTGTGCATGCATGTACATCACACCACACATACATACAAACAAAAAAGGAAAAAGTATCTTCTACGAGCAACTTCAATCAAGAACCTCGAGGAGGAAGTGAGCCACCTCTGCCCTCCTTTTTCTGCCCACCTCACACATGGTATACTGAATGAGACCAGACTCATGAGATCCTGAAAGATGCCCAGAATATCACAGTTGAAAAGAACTGCTATTACAGCATCAAATAAAGGGGCTGGGGAGATGGTAGAGTGGGCAAAGGTGCATACTATAAAAGCAATAAGATAGGAGTTGAAATTTCCAGGACCCATATAAAAAAGCTGGGAATACTGTGCAGACAGACAGACAGACAGATAAGGGATTTTATACACAAGAGTGAAGAGCTCAAGAGTAAAACACTCAATATCCTCCTCTGGCCTACGTATGTACACATATGTAACAAGACATATACATACACACACAAACAGTACCAAATAAAACAAACACAACCCAATCATGCTTCACACCCCTTTCCATCATTCTGGGGTTCTTTTTGATTAGCATCCAGGCACCACAGTCATCAGATGCTTACCTCATCCCTCAGGGAGGGGTCCCTGTAAGCCACATCGGACAGCAAAGTGACCAGGCAGAAGCTGAAGCTCTCTGCAACTGGGAGGTGACCTGGAAGACAGGAGGTTCGAATGAAATAAAGCACCAGACACAGCTGGCTCAGCATGCCCCTTTTCTCACCCAGCCTGCCAAAGGACCGGCTTAAATGAGGAAAGAAAGCAGATGTGGTAGCTCAAGCATGTAATTCCAACACTTAGGCAGTAGACAGGAAAATCGGAAGTTCAAAGTTATTCTCACCACACAGAGAATTTGAGGCCTGGCTGGGATATATGAGATCCCACCTCAAAAAACAAAACAAAAACAAACAAAAAAACCATATAACAACAACAAAAGAGCTCAAAGAAGACAAGGGTTTGGTTTGCTGGGCTTCTGTTCTATCTGTTTATCATAGACTTTTGTAGTAATTTTTAGTTGTTTTTAATTATACTGTGTGTGTGTGACACATGTATGTAGAGGTCAGAGAAAGGACAACTTGTAAGATCAGTTTTTTCCTTCCCATGTGAGTCCCAGGGACTGAACTTCTGGTAACCAAATATGAACTTGAACCCTTGTTTTGTGTTGTGTGTGAGGAGGCACAGCTGCAGCATTCTTGTGGATATTAGAAGGTAGTCTCAGGTGTGGGTGGGCCCTTACCTTTCATTTTGTTCACATTCCTTTTTGTTAGTGTTGTACTGTATATTTCCACTGAGCTTGCCTGCAAGCTTCCATGGGATTCCCCTGTCTCCAGCTCCTGCCTTGCTGGAGTGCTGAGATAGATCTCTCAGACCTGACTGACCAAAATCCAGCTTTTACATTGATGCTACGGTCTGAACTCAGGACATTAGGCTTGTGTGCCCACCTCCCTGGCCCAACCTTGAACTTATGATCTTCCTGCCTCTATCTCCTAAATGTTGAGATTACAAATTTGGTAATAGGATTATTGGTAATGGATTATTAGTTCCATGCCATGTTCATGTGGTGTTGGTGATGGAGGAAGGTCATTGGCTAATAAAGAAACTGGCTTGGCCCATTTTATTGGTTAGAACATAGGTGGGTGGAGTAAGCAGAATAGAATTCTGGGAGGAAGAGGAAGTGAGGTCAGACTCTGCTCTGCTCCCGGAGAGACCCGACAGCTCTGCTCTCTGGAGCAGAGACGCCATGCTCAGCTCTCCCGGATAGACTCGACAGCTCTGCTCTTTGAAGCAGAGATGCCAAGCTCTGCTCTCCCAGGCAGCTCTGACCCAGGATGGACGTAGGCTAGAATCTTCCCGGTAAGCGCACCTTGGGGTGCTACAAACAATTATTAGAAATGGGCTAGTTCAGGTGCGAGAGTTAGCTGAGAAGAGGCTAGATAGACATGGGCCAAGCAGTGTTTAAATGAATACAGTTTGTGTGTTGTTATTTCGGGCATAAGCTAGCCAGGTGGCCAGGGTGCTGGGGACGCAGCCCCGCCACTCTTATTTCAACATGTTGGAAATGAAACTCAG